GAGGGGGGGGGGGGGGGGGCGGGGGGGGGGGGGGGGGGGGGGGAATGGGTGGAGCTGTGACTTTGTTTTTTGGGTTTGAGGAGGGGAGTGTTGAAGTTTGAGGGATTTGGACATCTAGCCTGTGTCTTATGAAGTCCTTGTAGGACTTAGAAGGTGATCTCCAGATTTTGGTAAGATGTGCTGAGAGAGGGACGAAAGGTCAGGGGTGACGAGATGTGAAAGATGGTGAGGCACTGTAGATACCTCAGTGTAGGAAGAATTAATGGGATTTAGCCATTATATGCATGTAAGGTAGATTCATATCATTTTTTGAGCTCATTTCTTAAGTGTTCTGGAGAAAGACTCCAGATAAGAGATGGGCAGTGGGCAGTGGTGTCTTTTGTGTGTTTGTGTAGGTGCACAGGTATGTGCCAGTGCATATGCTGGCACACATTTGGAGGCTGGGAGGATGTCAAGCATGCTGCTTTATCACCACTCTGGTGCTTACATCCCTGGGCAACTCTGAGTTGCTCTGAGTCTAGAGCTACTCTGTCAGCCAGGAAGTCACAGTGATTATCCTTCTTGCCCATCACTCCCAAGCTGGAGTTACAGGTGGATGAGTAGACGTTTTGGGTTTTTAGATGGGTGCTGGGGATTTGAACTCATGTTTGTGAGCGTGTGCATGCACATGTATGTAGGAGGTCAATGTTGAGTTTCTTCTGCTGCCCTCTCCCTTTTTGAGACAGTGTTTCTTACTGAACTGGAGCTCATCCTTTAGGCTTAGACTGACTAGCCAGTGACCCCTGCAAAACACTCCTGTCTTTGCCTCCCAAGTGCTGGGATTACTGGTGTGGTGTGGTACTGGCTTTTTAAGTAGGTACCAGTGACAGAAGGTATCAGGTATTTAATGTAGATATCAGGCAGGCCCTTGTGCTGGCATGGCAAGCACCTTACCAACTGAGCCCCTGCTTTCCAGCCTCTTAAACATTTATTGAGCCAGGCGGTGGTGGCGCATGCCTTTAATCCCAGCACTCGGGAGGCAGAGGCAGGCGGATCTCTGTGAGTTCGAGGCCAGCCTGGTCTACAAGAGCTAGTTCCAGGACAGGCAACAAAGCTACAGAGAAACCCTGTCTTGAAAAATAAAACAAAACAGCTGGGCAATGGTGGTGCACACCTTTAATCCCAGCACTGGCAGGCAGGTGGATCTCTGGGAGTTCAAGGCCAGTCTGGTCTACAAGAGCTAGTTCCAGGACAGGCTCCAAAACCACAGAGAAACCCTGTCTCGAAAAACCAA